GATGACTGCTGGATTTGGTGCGTTAACTGTAGTGGCTAGTAAATTTTTACGTTACATGTTGCTGAATATCATGTGCCACATGATCGTTATGTTTATTTATTATCAATGTTAAAATAAGCAAGTTTAAATGATCGCAAACTTTTAAAGATTTGTCGTTAATATGAAAAAAAATCTTCAAATAATCGATTGTTCCATGAGGTGAAAGAAGGTAAATAGATCAAGCCAATTACTTAAATGTAGATGATATGGTGAAGGAATAAATCATTCGATTACACGTAACACGCGCCATATTGTTGATTCGTACACCTTAAATGATTATCCCGATCACCCGATTCAAACCCAACTCCTCCTTCTTCGATTTCTGGTAGTATTTGCTGTTGTCTATTACTTTTTAATAATGCATCAGTTTCTAGATCATCTTTATGATGATCGATACAATAATCATCAGTATCACTAATTATCCCATTATCATGATATTTTTGACAATTTAATAATTCTGCAGATCCGCCATATAGTCAATCTTTACGTTTAGCTTTTTTTGATCCAGTAACTCCAACACCACTGCCGGCTGATGCGACACCAACACCAGATTTAATAGCATGTCTTTGACGCCACCACCAAACAAATTTATTTTCCATGCCCAATAAATAAGAAGCACCTCGAATAATTGCCATAATCCCAATAAAAAATCCCAATATTGACCACCACCCGCCAACTTCCTTGAACACAATCATTCCACTTATTGTGACAAATATCACGTGTGACGCGTAAAACATTGGTTGAAACTGAGTGATACGATATTTACTAAGGGCAATTTGTTTACATATTTCTTGACCCCCGATTCCAATCACTAGATTCACTAGTAATGTGAATAAAGCGAATATTATGATTGAATTGGACATTTCATCTCCAAACATTAATTGAATATTGTTCCGTTGATTTCGATATATTAGTGTATCAATTTTCTGATTCAAATTAATTTTATTTTCCGAAGACCGATTAGGAATAAATAACCAACATGTTAAGAGCAGTGCCAAAAATTTACTAGCCACTACAGTTAACGCACCAAATCCAGCAGTCATCATCACATATATAACCAGAGAGATTTCTTTTTTTCTTGTTTGTCGTCTCACAGTCAATATTAATATACATTCTGTGATAAAAATTACCAGCAACCAACCGAGTACACGAAATTGCAGCATATAATTAACTATTTCAGCACCTGTCCATGATTTATTTTCCATTTCATTTGCGACAGAGAACAGAATTATCGCCATTACTCCACCTAATATCCAAATGTATCCGATCTTTTGATGAAATGAAACATTTTCACCCAATAGAAACTTTGCAAGTATCGCATTGACCACTACGCCGAGAATTCCCAATGGTGTTACGACTGAGGCAGGAATTAATGCCAATGCCACCCAATTTCCAAATAATTCCCCAAGATATACAAGTGATATGCCGAGAAACCATGTTCGATCTCTAAGTCTTGAATAATTTTTTCTTTTGATAACATTGCTATCGTCATTGATGCTATTATTAATATTATTATCGTTAATATTATTTACATTCATGGGAGTAAGTGTTGTGGTGCTTGCATTAGGTGACAGATTAACATCCGTGCCTTCATTGTCATCTTCTCCATTTTTACCAGTAAAACGATTAATAGTTAAGGAGTGTCGATCGAGTAAAGGACTAGAAACAGACGTGACAGATTTCCCGTTAAGGAAGTTCAATTGTTCTTGTGAATTGTCTTCAACAATATTTGTAGTTGCAATGGTTGTTTCTTGTATGGAAGACGACCCAGAAGTTTCCGAGGCACCACCGCGTTGTAGCGCGTACTTTTGTAAGCAATTTCCAAGGCCTATCACCGAATTGCCGGTTAAAGCGGCTAATAGACCCCATAATGAGATCATTTTTTTTCTTTTGTCTTCAAAAGATCACGACGACGCGCACTTTTTTATAAGCTAAATTATTATATGCTCTAAATATGTTAATTGATTGTAGAAAGGAATAAAATAAATAATTTCGCGTTTTTCCGGTTCTCTAAAAAAATATATTTTATATTATATTTTATCGCTAATATAAAAAAAGAAAAGGAAAAAGGAGTAACATGTTCATGTATTACATATATTTTTAATTACACCGTCTGTTATTACTTATTACACAAAATTTCAAAATTTTCATTCCCAAAAAATGGTGGAATAAACTATAATTAATTAAATACACCAAAAAGTCAATTGCATACATACAGAAAAATTTACCTCCTCACGATAGCGGAAGACAAACACATCAAAGAGCCAATCAGAATTACATTGTGCAAAACTCATATAACAAAGCAAAAATACCCTGGCCATGGCAAAGGAAAAGTGGCTATCATGTGCACAACAAACCCCATTATAACAAGTTATTTGAATTTTTCCTGTTACATATTGATCTTGCGATTTGATTGGTTTTCCCCCTTAAAACTAGGTCATTAAAATTTTTCGTGTTACCGTTACTCTTTCCCAACCACAAAAGATGAGCGACAAAGATAGCGAAGACACCACCTTCTTTATTCCCCCATTATGGAGACAGAGACGATGTCTTGCAAATGAAATACTGAAAAAGCATAAAATAACTTCAGTATGTCAGTGATAACGTTGAATCAACTGGAAAATTTCCCTTTCAATTATGAACGAAAAAAAGAATTTTTTTTACCATTCTCCTATACCTTATTATCCTTATGTGCTAGGTGTTGGATTTTGGCTGCGGTGAAGGAGCCCTTCTCTCCTTTTTGGTGCCACCTTCTGAGGAGAAACCGATAACGCGTCTTGCCGGTTTAGATCTAAATTTGGAAATTCTGCAACACACCTTGAAAATTTGTCGTCCCTGGCAACAGGATTTTGAATATTTAAGATTGTCTCCATTGACCATTGATATATATCAGGGTAAGGGGGTTAGATTCGGTGTTCAGGATTAATTCTTAATTTTTGATTATCCTTTGATCTATTAAGGTAGTGTTGATGTAGCAGATAGGAGATTATGCGGATATGAAGCAATTGTATGCTTGGAAGTGTAAGTATATTGATATTCATACTCGAGCTTATGCACACAATTGTTCATTGTATTGTTTATTATAGGGTGGAACATCTTGACCCACCGATTCTTGATAAATTCTTTGAGATAGTCTTAGGAACATATAAACCTAAAATTTTGATAGTGTCGACACCTAATGTTGAATTTAATCGATACTTCCCACAACTGAAATATGGAACACCCGAAGCAATCCTTCGTAATGATGATCATCGATTCGAATGGACTCGTCAAGAATTTCAGGATTGGTATGAGTTAAAAAAATTTATTTGCCAAATTTATGGATTTTATAATAAATAAAAATTCCTTTAATATATATAGGAGTAAAGCAGGCGCATCTAAATATAATTATTCAGTTGAATTCGATGGTGTTGGACGACTAAAAATTAGCGATAGTGAAATTGGACACGCGACACAATTTGCAATCTTCAAAGACTTGCAGGTTGATGCAAAGCCTATGCATTCTTCCTTTGGGGAATATCAACTCGTTGAGCACATTGTGTTTCCACATTACGACGAACCAGAGAAAACTCACGAAGAAATTATTGAGGAAATTGATTATTATATGCAATTTCTTTGTAATAACTTTGAGTATAATTCTTCTGCTTCTGTCGCTTTAAGAAATCGATTGAACGTTTCGCCTTCCGTCACTGTGGATAAATATATAAGTTTCAACGAGTTATGGGATATTCACAGAATCCGACAAGTCTGCAAATCTCGCGAGAAGTTATACGAAACATTAAATGCTTGCCCACATTTCACCATGATCAACAGCGAATGGATACAAGTTCATAAAGAATATAAACTTGATGAAGTGGAAGCACAAGATGAGATCAATCATAATGATCTCAAAGGATCGTACTTCTTTAATGATGAAGATGAATGCCGTTATTCGGAATCAAGTAATCAATCGGATGAATATCAATGCGATTCAAATAATAGCAGTATATCATCCACGACACAAATTCTGGAAGAGAATGCTAATTGGGATACTTATAGGTCTCATACATGGAATACAAATGATGAAAATCTTTCTCACACACAACCATGGGATATAGACGAGGATAATAAATTTCCATCGCAAACATCATGGGATATTATATCATCGAATATGCAAATATCAGATGACAAGAATGATGATAATTTATCATCATCTATCATACAAAGTTCCACCAAAATTATCTCTAATAATACTGCTACAGTTGAAAGTTCATCCTTACAAATATCAACGAAAATTATAGAGAACGAAGATATTTTTAAAAATTTATCATGTTTAAAAACCAATCAATGGTTGGTAACTTTAGATAATTAAAACTTGTAGATAAAGGTAATGATAATGAAAAGTATAAATATAAAATGTAAAACAGCTTAATTATCTTTTGCATACACAAATACTAGTTGCAAAATACGTAGATCGTATAATTAAATTAAATTTAAAGTTTATTGTAAATTTCTTTATTTATTCTTTATTATAAAATCATTATTATTAAAATATATTAAAAATTTTACTAATTTAAAGAATGAAGATTTGTATTATAATTTTGAATATAAGAATAGAATTATTAAAATTTGTTATATTTGAATTTTTATAATTATGTATTCTGTTTCTTATTTTATTTTTCTATTTAAAAAATGTGATCTGGTTTTGAATTATATAATCTAAGATAAAATATTACTTAACATGATTCTGATTCTAGATTATATAATATTATAAAGTTATGTTAAAATTTTTATATATAATAAACTTGCAATATTTTTGAATTTGAAAAATCTCATCCTATAGTATTTTAATTAGATATTAACCAAGTATTTAAATCTTTTAATCTTTTTCTTGAATTACATAGTTTTGATATTTATGAATTACTAATCAGATAGTGACTAAGAAGTATATTATATTTCATTATGTTAGTTACTATTATCTATTCCTTTATTATTATCATAGTATTAGAGGAGAAAGATTTATATAGATCAGATTCTTCTATTATATAGTTTTAATATTTATATATTATTATATTTTACATTTCTTTTCTTTATTATATTTTTATATATAAATTGATTTTAAAGAATATAAAATATATATTTATATATAAATAATCTTTTAGATTCAACTATAGTACTATTAGTAATCTGTTTTCATAGGCTTAACTAGGAATTAAGAAATAATAAGTTATCCTAAAAAGCTTAAAATAGTATTAGATAATGAAAAAAATATTGAAAGTGATAATATTAGATAATATAAATACAGAAGAAGTAAGTATAAAAGATAGAAGAGAAAGAGAGTTATATTTATCATCTTCATAATTGATATAGAATAAGTAAATTTAGTCAATTAATATTACTAGTAACTTTTTATATTCTGTTTGAAGATAAGAACTATCTTTCTAATTAAGTATAACTTATTCATAAACTCTCTAACACTCATTTAGAGTATATTTTTATGATAGTGATAGTTTATATTTAAAAGTCAGTATAACAATAACTTATAGAATAACTATCTTTTAAATAGATAAAAAATTTCTCCTTTATTAGTATTACTATTCAAGATTTTTTTTTTAGAATATTAAATCTTTTATCACTATTATTATAATAACTAATTTTTATATATTAAATCAGTTTAATTATTGAATTTCTTTATATTTTTTGTTATAAATATCTTTACTTATTCATTTATCTTAATTTTGATAGTTTTATTATTACTATACATACTAATTATCTCTCCTATTATATTATACACCTATTTTAATTTTCAGTTTTTTATCTTTTGATTATTATTATAATCTAGAGTAATTATAACTTTATCATCTGGATTAAAGACTGGTTTTTTTTGATAAATACTTGTATAAATAAGTATTTTATTCTAATAATTCTTGTCATTTTACATAATATCTCATTATACTTACTATATATACTTCAAATAATTCTTATATATAATATAATTAGTGATTTTATAACTTTTTGTGTGATCTGTATTATTATTATAAGTATCTTAAATATAATCTTCTTTTACTTAACTAGATTTAATAAGTATTTTTGATAGTATACCATAAATATTTCACATTTTAAATCAAAAAAATAGCTTATATGATGATTTTTTATATGTTTTGTGAGATACTTTATTATATGCAATTATGAATGCAAATAGAATATCAATCTAATAATATCTTTAGATTTGAAAAATCTCATCTTATAGTATTTTAGTTAGATATTAACTGAGTATTTAATTGAATCTTTTAATCTTTTCTTGACTTTGTGAATAATAAATATAATCATGAATAAGCTATATTTAGAGATAGAGTAAGATTAGAGCTTTATTAATTCTTAAATTTCAGGCTATAAAAAACTGATCTTGAGTATCTTGCATATTTTTTTTAGAATTTCAATAATAAATTCTAATCTATTATCTGATTAAAATTTCATGAGTGATCTGAATATTAAAAAAATATCTTACTAATTTCTTATTAATTATATTTTTCTCTTTATTTTTAAGTAGAATAATTCAGATATATTATAAGAATATATTAACTATTATAAGAATATAGCTATAGTCATCATTATATTTAGCAAAAGAAAGAAGATTGACCAGATCTATTTAAAGATATTCTAATAGAATACTGATAATAATGAATATTATATTATTTTTTTTAATAAATATATTTCAAATATAAGTAAAGTACTTTTGTATAAACTTTTTGACTTTATTTTATATAATCTAATATATTTTTCATATAGTATAATATATATTTTATGATATTCAAAATAAGAGATTCTGATATAAAATTTTTCTAAAAGAACTTCTTATAATTTCTTATTATAAGTTAGAATTATTCATTTTTTGACTAGTTAAGAGTTTTTATCTATTAACTTTTCTGAGTAAAACAGATAGTTACTCTTATTATTATAAGTAAGATCTTGATATTAATGATGTAAATTTTTTCTTTTTGTTGGTATATTATATTTTAATACAAAAATATCTAACTAAATATAAATAATAATATTATTAAAATCTTTAGATATGTCAGATATTTTTGATAATTTAATCATGATAGAAAAAGTAATAAAGCAAAATAGATTAAGTAAGTAATAAAAAAATTAAAAGAAATACATAATAATAATAAGTATAAAAGAAACTAAATTATCATTATTATAACTATTCTTATGAAATTTACTATGATCTATCTAATCTTGATAAATTATAAATATTTTATAAATTATCAAATATAGAAAGTATTATAATATATATAAATAAAAAAGAAATAATTATCTGATTATTATATAGTAATCATGATTTGTATATTTTGTTTCTAAAATATTGAGCATAAATATGTATATGATTAAATATATAAAGAATATATATACTTGTTCTTATAAAATATATAAATAAAAGAATAGGTAACATGATATCTCTTTAATTTATTTTTAAAATTCTTATATAATATAATAATTATCATATATATAAATATAATTTAATTAACTATAAATTATCAGGATGAAGTGTATAAATAATAACAATAAATATAATATTTTGCATTATATTCTATTTATGATATTTATTTTCACATAATTTAATCTAGTGATTATATGGCAAACTTTTCTTAGTTCAATATATATAAGTTATTTTGGTAATAAGATATAATGAATTATAATTTTACTCTGCAAAATACATATTATAATCATCAAATACCTTATAACTTTTTTTTATACTTTTAATATTTACAGTGGCGACCAAAAGTAATGACTCAGGGGCTAAATTTACTAATAAAACATAGTAAAAATTGAAATTTTCTCTCTATA